CGCCACCTGGGCCGCCGGCCGGCGACACGCGCGCCCCGAGCCCGCTCCCGGGGCGTGTGGAGTCAGCTTTCCGGAAGCAGCCAGCCCACCGGAGGAGGTAGACGCGGCGAGGCGTATATATGTGGGTCTCGCCACAAGTGGCTGTGGACGCGGAGGCCCCAGCTCGCCCCGCAGCGGACCGCGGGGGGGACTTGCTTAGGAGGCGGCGAGCGCCGGCCGCGCACCGGGTTCGGGGGCCAGAGGATTAGACATTGCTACGGGAGACGTGTAAACACTGCTCATCGCCGAGCGTGTATAAAACATCCCGTGCTCGCTGTATTGCAGGGGACGCGCCTCTATCTTCTGTTTTCCCTTTGGCCCTTTTTTGCCTGTGTGGTTTAGGAGCAGCGCAGCTGGAACAGCTGATTCCTGAGTAAGTAGGAGCCAGAGGCTCGGATGAACTTTTTTTTTCTTCTCTTTTCTCTCTTCTTTTCTTCCTTCTCTTTTTCTCTACTTCTCTTCTCTTCTCTTCTCTTCTCTTCTTCTCTTCTCTTCTCTTCTCTTCTCTTCTCTTCTCTTCTCTTCTCTTCTCTTCTCTTCTCTTCTCTTCTCCTTTCTTCTCTTCTCTCTTTCCTCTCACCTCTCCCCCACTTGGGAGACCCCGCGAGGGGCGCAGTCTGAGCCGGCCAGGGCGCGTGGGATCGGCAACCGGGCTCAACGGCGGCCCTTCTCCGTGCAGGTCCCGGAGCCAGCGGAGACGATGCTGCGGAGGCTGGTCCAGCAGTGGAGCGTCGCCGCCTTCCTGCTGAGCTGCTCGGTGCCCGCCTGCGGGCGCTCGGTGGAGGGGCTCGGCCGCCGGATGTAAGTGCCCATCCGCGAGCGGGCGGGCTGGGGAGGCTCCGCGGGCAGAGAGGCGAGCGCGGCTACCTGCGAGGGGCTGCGCCCAGCCCTGCAGCCGGGCCGGGGACCTGCGTGAATCCCTCGGACAAACCGGCAGGAGACGATCTTGCCTGAGTCCCGAGGGGACCGAGGTCTTCAGTCCTCGGAGAGACCCCGCCTTTGGGGAGAAGAGGGTGACCGAGCTCCCCGAGTTGAGTTGTGTGACTGGGAAGAAGCCGAGGGACCAGAGGATGCAGGTCTGCGCGCGTTTTACACACTGAATGCGGGTGGCAGCGTGAGTGTGAGAAGGAAAACCCTTACATCCCATTTTATTATGAGTGACATAATTTAAGCATATAAAACAGGACCATATTACATAATGAAGGCATATTATATAAGAAAGTAGTAACGACTTGCAGGGGCGCGCTTCCAAGGGTAGCAGTGTTGATAGCGCTCAGGAAGGCTGCAGTGCTTGGTTCCAAAGCGAGCTTTAGGTGTGGAAACTTTCTTTTTCTTGGAATTATTACTAACAGTTCTTTAATTTGGAGTCAAATATTTGCATTGTAGACCGAAAACTTGTATTTTTGGCATTCTGTTCTGGTGATTCTTTTAAGGACAGTTTTGGCTGAGGAATAAGGGTACGTCCTAGCCACGCAGGGAAGGGACTGTTGGGTGACTGGAGAGTTGCGACAGTGACTGAGCGATGCTGTCCTGTATTCCTGTGGACCAGGCAGTGCGTGAGTGTGGGTGACACCGTCCTCGGGCGATCTTGAAGCTTCAAAGCCAGAGTTTGATATGGTAAAGCCATGCAGTTTAACAGCCGAGAAGAGTTTGACTCTGAAGAAGGAATTAAAGAGAATTTTTCTACTTAACAATAAAAATACAGCAGTATCTAATATCTACAGTCCGGTCCAGGGGGCTTCCTTGTACATTCCCGCGGGTGTACAAAAAAGCAGCTGTTTTATATGTGCCTTGATCTATTATTATTAGAGCAGAAAATCCTTAAATGAAATTACGTTAGACATGTCTGAACCTTGGCACCAAACTGGAAATCTATTAGGAATCTCCAAAGGCAGATTGTGTAGAACATTGTGCAGGAGATAAAGCTGCTTTGTGTTCTTCAAATCGACGTTTTGCTGGTGTATTTTGGAATTGTCTTCAGACTTTTTGCTAATTTTGAGACTGGTGTTAAATTCAATTATTTAACATCTAACTGTGAATATAGATGAAGACCAAAATGTTAAAAGTGCACTTACATACTGTATTTATTTGGCTAAGAAATAACTGTCTTGGATCAGAGCCAATTTTTTAAAAAGTTCCTTTAGAAATACCTGTTTTCTCTTTTGAGAAACAGTAAACGAACCATGATTTAAGTCCACAAGCACAGCACATAAGTAGTGTTAAGTTGTCCTAGTGGCTATTTTTAACTCTTTCTTTGTGGCACCTTGCAAAACACACATCAGAAACCATTTAGCAGCCAGGCTCTGTTGTAGCTTTGTTTGTGGGTGAAATGTAATATTGCAGTTAAACACTCACACTCAGCAGATGGTTATAAAAGTAGCACAAAACACTTCGTAGTTAACGGCTAATGGGTCATCACATTACAACCATGATTTTTCATGGAGGTTGAAATCATCAGTATATAAAGATGTTTCATCAAATTATTACAACCAAGTGAATTATTTTTTCATTGCTGCCAAGTAACAGTAAATGTGTGCTAGACAAAACATTAGTCTACAATTACATAAAATCAGGCTAGCTGCTTGAAAGAAATTTTAACATATAATCAAATCATATTGCTCCCCAATTTTCACCCCATGCAGTAGGGAAACTGCTTAAGAAGTTTATTTTTTAAACTAGGAGGTAACTTTTAAGGGAGAGAAAGTTACTATAACAAGACTTTCTAAACCATGCAAAAAGGCAATTACAAGTTGTGATCTTTTGGCCCTGCTAGTTTGCAAGATTAACTTTTATTATTAGTGTCTATATTTATTTATACAGAATACTATTTATTTATATAGAACAATGGGTTTCACGATGGCATATTCATGTATGTAGAATCCACAAGATTTTGATTAATGGGGCCAGAACATGATCAAGTTGGAGACTAGGGAGTGGGCTCTTGGGATATTCTGTGTGCATCAGCATGGCTTGGCAGGTGGCTACATCTGGGTTGACTTTAGAGAGGGAACCCCAAAGCATCATTGGCTGATTTACTTGGTACCAGACTAGGTCTGTTCCACTTAATGAAAAGCATAACATTCAGCTGAGTCATCAGGGTTGGAAGGGACTTCTGGTGAGTCATCTTAACTGCAGTACCCTAACCCTGTCTCCTCCCGTGTACCACAGAACTTTGCTTCTCAAACTCAGAGTCTCTCCGTAAGATCCTCCCATCAGCACAAGCATCTTGCTTCTTCCTGTGCTGGAAGAAATTTCCATTACTGTTTATTCCCTCTGTTCCTTGATAGTGCCTTAGAAATTTAATCTTGTTCCCCAAAAACTCCTTTGAGAGTGATTCTTCTTCAAAGAACAACTGTTTTGACTGAAATTAGAGCTATCCATGTTACGCATTTTCGCTGAAGTTTTGCAGATTTTTTTTTACAATAATCAAAGACCATAAAGCATAACATATGTGTTTTTCTGTATCAGAATCTAGGTATGTAATAAATGCCATGTTCACTGTGGTGCTATGTAATGTTCACAGACATAGTGAGTAACAGGCTATTATTGATGACATTTATCTAAGTGTTTCAGGGTTATCTAAATTACAAAACCTACATAATTTGAATTTTCTACTTACCTTCCAGGTACATCTAGATTGAACATGCCAGTCATGTATCCCTGTGTCAGTTTATATCTTATTGTGGAAATAAAGAGGATATTTGATGGACCTTATTTCCTGTTGATGATGAAGGTGTCATTGTCTTTCTGAGTCTCTAATGCAATTTTTCAATCAGAGATTTTCAATATTTTAAAGGCAAAAGTCTCTGAAACCCTAAATAACTTGTCTAACAGCATTTCAGGTTTAGCATTTAATAAGATCTGTGTTTCCTAGTATGTGTCAATTTCCTCTAAAAGGCAGATGGAAAGAGAGATACTGTTTTCAACTGGGCAGAATGGTAGGCTTTTTACAAAATAAAGGATGAAATGATCACTGCATCTCCCGTGGGAAGCATCCTGGGAGAGCAGGGCCTTTGAGCTGTGGAGGCTGGGTGACTCACATCAGACAAATTGGCCCGGATGACAGACATCTGCGCAGTCAGAGGGGCATGAGCAATGGTGGCCGGATTTGAACAGACCAACCATTGGAAGTTTGGCTTCGGGTTAAGCAAGAATGGGCTGTCCAGTAGATGTGGAGAGCCGTATACATTCAGGGTATCAGCCAAGAATTGAGAAAGAAATAAAAGCCCCAGTACTGTCAATTAACACTGGTTCAGAATTTCTTTTTCACATGACATTTTGATAAAAATATGTATTAAACTGCAGTGCTTATGAAATACGAAATGCTAGCAGTCCTACTCTTTTAAAATGTTGTAAGAAGATACATTGTACCCAAACATCAATTTGTAGGTTATTAAAAGTTTCCAGAGTACAAACAACTGCTACGGAGTAAGTGAAGTTTCATCTAGTTGCGTGTGACACCTTAAAAAAGGAAGAAAGACTCCTGCATGCCTCATTTAAACCGGGCTCCTGCTAAATTCCTTTCTATTAGGTCATGTCTTCTCTGTACACGCTCTATGGCTTAAAGTCAGTCCACAACCAAAATCCTAGAAGGAAGCTGGCATTCTGGCTATCAGGGCCAGAGAATGACGACTGTTTTCATTTCTTGCTCTCTTCTTTGACTCATTCTCCCCACAATAACCCAAACTCTAGGAATCCCAGTGATGGAAAAAGACTTGGGAACCCTTAGTCTTCAAGCAAATGGCTTATTCTTTCTCATCTGCCCACTGTCATAGAGGCTTATGGCCCCATGTCCACCCTCTAGGTCCTCAGCACAGGCTCTGGCTTCAGCTTCAGCAGGAGACAGGGTTGGGGACTTCGGAAAGGCAGCCTTGCTTCTAGAAGCACAAGGCCTCATGTTCAGAGCTCTAGCTCTGCCAGTTCTCATGGGAACTATGGCAAATTGTTTACTCTTATATCTCATTTTTCCCATTTATAAACGATGATAGTGATGCGTCTGTTATCCTCAAATTTCTCTGAGGAGTTGGAGAAGTCCCCCAAAGGTAATGAAGGCCCCAGACTCCTCTGTGTGGCTGTGTTGGGGAGATAAGAATTCATGGGATGTGGCCCGGTGCAAGGCCCGCAGGTGCTCACAAGATGAGCTGGTTTGAAGGACAGTGGCAGAAATTGGAGTTGACTCGGGCACGAGGTGACTGACGAGGGGACATGATTCTTAAGTACAGCTGGCAGTGTGCTCACAGAGTAACACCGAGCACATGGCGGGCTGTTAAGCAAGTCAGGAAAGCATCTAAAAGGAGTAACGATCAGTTGATTCTTTCACTCTGTTTTCATTAGAGTATTACTTAAAGAGAAAAAGAACTTCATACTTCTTCCTAGAGATAATCTAAGAGAAAAAGAGCAAGTAGAAAAGTGAGTTTTTAAACACTCAGAGTGATACCCCTGAAATTTTAAATTAGAAAAAAACTTGCAGCACAGAAGAAATAGAATGATCTCACATAAACACACGCAAAACCCAGAAGGAGACCACCTACTGCTACTTTATGGAAAAATTACATCTTTTTATTTCTCCCTGGCATTTGGCCTCCAAATATAGGTTCTTGGTACTCCGTCATCTCAAATGTTAAAATTCAGCCCATCATTGAGAAGTTTCCTAGACAGACTTCAGCGCTGGCGTCATGCTTCTGCCCGTTGGTTTCTAGTCTTGTAGCTTGCTGTTCTTTGAGGGTCAGTATTATTGTTTTCTTAGTGGGGCAACAGTGTGTGTGTGTGTGTGTGTGTGTGTGTGTGTGTACACACATGTGCACAGGTAGGCTTGGGAGAGTACTGGGGTAAAAGCAGCTTCCTTTCTATTTCCTGGGATAGGAATCTGGATTCACTTGCCAAAACAACACTGAGGAGACCTCCGGTGGCTTCTCTCCCTTTCTGAGCATGACTGAGTACAGTCATAGCATTTCACATTGGGAAGGCAGCATAAAACCATTGATCTGACGCTGTGCTCCTAAACAGAGGAGGCCAGAGCAGAATGCTATTCTCAGGAGGTGCGGGGGCCACAGTCCCGACCCCAAGGCCCCTCCCCACCCTCCCTGCACCAGCTGGGTCTGCAGAGGGCTAGACTGGGGTTTGCTCCTGCCTGCTTTTCACCAGCAGCTAGCAGCTGACATTGTCTTCCCCTTCTGGCTTTCTTCCTGGCAGCAAGAGGGCAGTGTCCGAGCACCAGCTGCTCCACGACAAGGGCAAGTCCATCCAGGACCTGCGCCGCCGCTATTTCCTGCACCACCTCATCGCCGAGATCCACACGGCCGAGATCAGAGCCACCTCGGAGGTGTCGCCCAACTCCAAGCCCGCTCCCAACACCAAGAACCATCCAGTGCGCTTTGGGTCTGACGACGAGGGCAGGTACCTGACTCAGGAGACCAACAAGGTGGAGACCTACAAGGAGCAGCCCCTCAAGACGCCCGGGAAGAAGAAGAAAGGCAAGCCAGGCAAGCGCAAGGAGCAGGAGAAGAAGAAGCGGCGCACGCGGGCTGTCTGGCCCACCCCGGAGGCCGTGGACAGTGGACGCAGCGTGGAGAGCCCGGCCCAGGTCCCCGCCACACTGGAGCCCGCATCACGGTAATGGCCCCATCCACACTGGGTGCTCCCGGGCTCTCCCAGGCACACAGCTTGATGCTCCCACATATGCCAGGCCAGAGTGCAGCCGCCCACAGCAGTTTCCACCTCTGCCCATACAGGGCACAACCTGTCTCCTGCATCCACCACCACAGCACACCACACCAACCATACCACACTGCACCATACCACACCACACCATACCACACCAACCATCCCACCTCCCCACCGCACCAACCATATCATACCATACCACACCACACCAACCACACCATACCACACCACACCAACCGTACCACACTGCGCCGACCATACCACACTGCACCATACCACACCAACCACACCATACCACACCACACCAACCACACCATACTACACTGCACTAACCACACTACACCACACCAGCCATACCACAGCACACCAACCACACCATACCAACTACAGCATACCCCACAGCACACCACACCAGCCACATCACACCACACCCACCACATGACATCACACCACAGCACACCACACCAACCAAACAGCACACCAACCACACCGCACCAACCACACCACCCACACCATACCAACCACTGCACAGCACATCACACCATATTACACTGCACCGAACCAACTGCGTCACACTGCACCAACCACACCATCCACACCAACCACACCACACCATACCACGTCCCCCAGCTCCACTAATGTCGTTGTTTAGTCACATGCTTCAGAAAGTAGTGACCCTCTTCATCACTTCCTGAAAAGTGTATTCACTCCTCATTCACATTTTGGCAAACTTGGTAGTCTTTTTTTAAGGTCTTTGTTACTTACTTACTTACTTACTTATTTATTTATTTATTTATTTATTTATTTATTTATTTATTTATTTATTTGTCTTTTTGAGACAGGGTCTCATTATGCAGTTCAGGCTGGCCTTGAGTTCACTTTGTAGCCCAGGCTGGTCTCAAACTCACAGTACTCATGTGCCTCAGCCTCTTGCGAACTGGGATTACACACGTGTATCACCACACTGGGCTAGGTCTTTTTTAAAAGTCATTTCATGTCTTACTCTTTTTTTTCCTACTTTAAGGAAGAACATGGAAGGCTTTGATATTATCTACAAACACTGCAGAACAGTATCTTACCACAAACAATTCTGAGTTATTCACTATTTATTTAATCAAGTATATTTAATTAAATTTTTAATTGATTTTTTAATTTAAAGAAATTATTTTTAAACACATGCTTTATTTGTTTAATTAATTTTAACTCTGATTTCTGCCAGCTCTTGAAAAGGAAATGATTTCTGGAAAACTTTTAAGCATTGGCTTGAGAAAGTTTTAAATTTTTCTCATGCATCTGCTTGTCCACTGGCAAGTTGAAATATTTTTTCCAGGGTAATACAGTGGTAGTAATAAGACTCTACACTTACGTGGCTTGTTATCCTTCTTATCCTATAAGCGTTAACTTACATACATATCGCAGACTTTAAAGTCAAATAAGCAGTTCAGGTTTGGGGTCTGAACTTATAAACGGTCATAAGCTTTGGCAAGTGACTTAGTCAGACTGACTTTCATCTGTGAAATGAAGATGGTAACTGTACCAAGCCCATAGACTTGTGTAAGGATTAAATGCATTAAATGCTTGTCAGAAACACTCAGTAAATTGCAACATACTGTGTTCATGCTTTTAGACCTAGTTCTAATTACACTATGTTATGCATATATACATTTACATATATATTACACCATATGTACATGTATGTAAGTATACACATTACCTATATATGTACACATGGGCTATGTTTCTGTGAGGTAAAAAAAAAGGCAGGTGTTAACTTCATATATAAAGTAAAAAACTAAAGCAATCCATGAAGACCTAAGTTAGTCCTTGGGAAAGACCATCTGTAGAACTGGGTTTATTCCCCATCTCTGATGTTTAGCTCAGTGCTCTTACCAGGGTTGCGCTTTTTTTTTTCTTTTTTTTTGGTCTTTTTGAGACAGGGTTTCACTATGAAGTTCAGGTTGGCCTTAAGCTCACTTTGTAGCCCAGGCTGGTCTCGAACTCACAACAATCCTCCTGCCTCAGCCTCCCGAATGCTGAGATTACAGGTGTGTGCCACCATGCCTGGCTCGGGGTTGCTTCTTTGTCCATATATTTCCACTGATGAATAGGACTTTTTTTTTGTTTTGTATTTTATTTTACTTTTTGATACAACACTTCTGTGGGGTTTGAAAAAGAGAAAAGCAACACAAGCACACATCAAATGCAACTAATGATCTCATAACTGAAAGAGTGCCATTACTTCAGTTTTTTGACACTGGTACACATGGGTTTCAGAGTGATGTTTCAAAGCAGAATTTGAATCTATTCACTAGCATTATTCTCTTTAAATTCACAAATCCATTATTAAATAGTGTATAAATTAGAAATTTATTGGATCTGTAGTACAATGTCAGCAATCAGTGAGAAATGGCACTAGAGAAATATTTAGCACAGTGAGTGACCTACCTGGCAAGTTGCTAGGATGTGACAGCATATTTTAAGATGGAACCCTAACTGTATGTATTTATAACTAATGTGAGGAACCTACTGTATTGTCAAAACTTTTTTTGGTTCATTATACATAATTATTTTTAAACATATGATCAATTTTTATGGGGTTTGCTCATTTAAAATCTGCAGTAGTCTTCAAGTATCTGGAGAATTTATGAAAATCAACACTGATCAATTATTAGGCCCAATACTACCCCCCAGTTAAGTACATCTAGTGTAAATTAGGCAGTGGCCTAATCAAATCCAGACCTAGCACTGAAAGAAATAGGATGTCTCTGCTTTTCCTTTTGCTTTCTTGTTTGTGAGGGACATACATAGAAAAAAAAAGTTTGGCAGCCAGATGTTGCCTGTCTCCAGGCACAACCACGCGGAGATGAGAGCAGGGGATTGAGAAGTGTGTTGGTGAGAATGTTTGGGGCTATGCACATTTCTGTAATCCAAATAAAATCTTTAGAATCACTATTTTAAAGTTTCATAAGTGACCAATCTCTTTTAATGTCCTATCTGTAGTCCCCCACATTATACTTCTGGGAGGTATAATGAAGTAACATGCATGATTTTCTTATACTATACATAGAATTTCTTAGAGGTAAAGTTACTTCCTCTCAGATGACCTTTCAGGAGGAAATACACAACTTTAAATTTTAGGGATTACACTTTAAAGTTTTGATGTAGATAAGATAATACAGATGCAATGGGACTCTTTTCCTAGAAATCATATAGCTTGGCTTGGTAAATACTGATTTTGAAAAATATAAAAAGCTTTTTGGTAGTCGAAAGAGCTAAAATATTGTCACATCCCCTACATATATTGCACACTTACATTTTTAGGTCATGTTTTGTTTTACTGGGGTTTTCCATATGTAGCTTTGTTAAAAGAGAATTCAGAAGGGAAGGTAAAAAACATTCCAGACAGTGTGAAAAATAATTAAATGATCTTTTCTTTGATTCTTTTACTGATTTTTTTCTTTCTTTTTTTGAGAAAATAATGCTCAAAATATTTTTCATTTCCTCCTTGCTATTCTTAAACTCAACTCACTAAAATCAGTACAGTACACAAATTATTGAGTTTTGAAGTTGTCCTTTTTACTTTATTCATAACGTCCATTCACATCCACCTACCAGTTAAAATACTAATTTTAAACCTTTTGTTTTAGCATGTCAAACCAGACCATTGATAAACAGATCAATTCCTTAAGATGTGAGAATATCCTAAAGGCTCAACTTGCTTTTCTTTTTTTAAACTGCACATAAAACTTCAAAATTGCCCAGAGTGTTCTCCTATGCTGGTATTGTGGTGTATATCTGTGTTCCTAGCTACACAGGAGACTGAAGCAGATGGATCACAAGTTCTAGGTGAACCTGGGCAACTTAGCAAGACCCTGTGTCAAAAGAAAAAAATTTAGAAGGGGCTGAGAACGTGGCTCAGGGATAGAGAAATTACTTAGCATTTGTGAGATATGAGACCCTAAGTTCCATCTCTAGCACCATGAAAGGAAGGAAAGAAGAAAGGGAGCGAGCAGAAGGAAAGAAGGCAGAAAGAAAGGAATGAAGGACCTGCTCTTTTGTAGGTCTCATATCCATACATGTCTGCCATATAAAACTGCCCACAGTGGTCGCTGTAAATTCAGTGTTAAACAGCCAGTCACACCCCATTCTGTAGCTGCTTCCTTAAAAATAGTTGAGTATTCACTGAAGAAGACTACCCAAAGAGAGGAAGAAAAAGTCTGCTAACCCATCTTAAACACTGTCATTACATTATTTAGATAAGTTAGAAAAAGGTCCCAGTGGTAACTTCTTCTGAATAGTAAAACAGACATAATGATACAAAGTACTTCTGTTTCGTACTTTTAAATCAGTTTCTTGTTAGTATTCTTCCATTCAGAGTAGGCTTTCCTAATGACTAAATGCAGGATCCATTCAGAACGCCAACAGAGTGAGAGACAAACAATTCTTAGTTTTGTCTTTGAAAACTAAAATCCAGTAACAGTTTCTTTCATCAGTGCTTACAGACAGTTAAAGAAATGACAGATCTCATCATATATCATCAAATAAACATGCTCTGCTGAACTATACACCCTTCCATCCAGCACCCAAAGTTCCACGCTTTCACTGCCATGCTGTTATGTCAATGAGAGATTCTCTAAATGAACACGTGGATAAAATAAACAAATTGGATTGCCCAAGTCAACATACTGGGAAATATTCTAAGCAAGGTGTGCTGTTGATAGATGTCCCAACCTAGCTGTATGCCTTTGTCAAATTCGTCCCTTCCCAGATTCACCAGCTGAGAGCTTTAGGAAATTTTCACAGGATCCCTTCTTTTCTGACACAGTTAGAAATGTAGGTCTTTTCTTCTTTCTGCATCACACTGATCATTTAGTTGGGTTAAAGACCCAAGCTGGGAATGCAAGATTGACCAAATCTAAGGTTAAAAAACCTCAGAAATGATACAGAGCTTCACTAAAGGTGGTAAGAATGATGAATTAAAAAAAAAAAAAAAAAAAAAAAAAGACCCAAGCTGGGGCAGTGGTTCTGGAGAGAAAGGATCCCTGTCTGTAATTGAAGAGATTTGTGAGAAGTCCCATCGGTCTCTTCCCATTGCGATTCTTTGTTTCTTAATTTATATCCTTTATTTTATATCTTCAACTTTGTAAGCAAATTAACCTCTTTTTCCTCTTGTTTTCTTTTCTTCTATTTGCAGGAGGCGTTGAAATTTTCAGCAAAGACCTTCCAAGGACATATTACAAGATTTTGTAATAGTAAACTTATAGAAAGTATTAGAGATATTTATTGTCTGTAAATACTGTAAATGCATTGGAATAAAACTGTCTCCCTCATTGCTCTATGAAACTGCACATTGGTCATTGTGAATAGTTTTTTTCTTTTGCCAAGGCTAATCCAATTATTATTATCACATTTACCATAATTTATTTTGTCAACTGATGTATTTATTTTGTAAATGTATCTTGGTGCTGCTGAATTTCTATATTTTTTGTAACATAATGCACTTTAGATATACATATCAAGTATGTTGATAAATGACACAATTAAGTGTCTATTTTGTGGTTGATTTTAATGAATGCCTAAATATAATTATCCAAACTGATTTTCTTCTGTACATGTAAAAAATAGCAGTATTTTAAATTTGTAAAGGAAGTCTAATAAAATATAATCTAATTATACCATGACTCAGAAAGTAAATTATATCCTTCAAAATTTCTAGTAGAAGGAACATGAATCAGTTGTTTTTCTTCTTTATCTCTAATTCGAATACAGTTTTAAGCTTAATAAGTTTATCTGGACATATATTCCAACATACTCTCTTTAGTTTCTAGTTAAAAATCACTTTAAATATATTTTATTTTTTATTTTAAAGAGTAAAAACAGGATAACATAATAATAGGGGGACTTACCAAATTACAGAAAAAGTAGTGGGAAATTATCAATGGTTGTTGTTTTATATATTGTTATCTACAAGATAGTTTCTCAGGAAAACAAATAGACAGTAGCTACAGACAAAAGTGGTAGGTTATTATCAATAATTGTTGTACTATACTTTGGTATCTTCAAAGTGGTTTCTAAAGAAAATAAATAGAGCTATACATGAGTGACCAACTGAATATTCATTGACTATTCTCAGTGGTTGTTGTAGGAAACACATAGTAATAAACATACATCCCTTTATGAAATAGCATAGGAACAATACAAATATTACAGACTTATGGACAGATTAGTAGGAAAATATCAGTGGCTGCTGTAATACATGGTGGTATCTTCAAAGTGGTTTCTCAGGAAGACAGAGATACGCAAGAAAGATCTAACAAGTAGTTACAGCCTAAGGATTGTGAAAAATAGCAGATTTCTTCCTCACCAGTGACTCCTTTCACTGAAGTGTGAGACTGGAACGAAGGCTAGGATTGAAAAGAGGGACCGAGAGACTTGCACCTGTGTCTAGCAACAGGCTGTTCTCTTTTTTCTCTATAGTCATGATTACCTGGGGCTTCTCCATGGAGATGACAGTCTGGCCAGAGGGAGAAGGCAGAGTATGCCCTGAGCCCCCTCATTTCTGTTAGGCTGACTGGTAGGATGGGTCTGAGCTCTGGGGCCTCCACTTCAGAGGGCAGGCTGATCTCCTGTGGTCACCTTTGCATTCAGAGCATGGCCCAGGGGCTTCTTAGGGCAGTACCTCTGGAGGTGGCCTGGCTTTTAACAGTGGTAGCAGATGAATGTAGTTGTCGAGTTCTTCTTGGGGTCCCGAGAATCAGACTTAGGGTCTGTTTCTCTCGGTGCTGCAGCAAAAGCAGCTGCTTTTTCTCGGTCTCTTTGTTTTCTCTCCTTGGCCTCCTCCTCGTCATGGATATCGAATACTGAGGAGGCAGTCCTTACTAACATCTCAAGTGAGCCATCTGGGGCAAAAGCCATGTTGTGTAGCTTTTTCCTCTCCAGCCTCCCAGCACATTGGGACCCAGCAACCACTTAGTGTCCTGTCCCCAACCGTGAGCACAGGCAATGGGAATCTCAGTGCAGACCTCTCTGGAGCTCCACGTGCTCCTCCACTGCAGCCTGTACTATCAGGGGAAGAATGGCTTCCAGGGGATCTCCCCAGGTATTACACAAGGTCCTCCTGGTTTCTAGCTTCCAAACTGCTCTTGTGACCCTGGTCAGCTACACCTCTGAGTCTTTGGGTGGAGTCTGTATTCTTGTATTCTCTGAGTCCTTGTTCAGCATCTGCTCCTCCGCTGACTCTGGACCTTTCTCAATGGCAGGGGCAAGAGTGACCCATTGTGTGGCATGTATTCCCAGGGGTTTCTCCATGTCGGGATGATTCACGCAAGTCCCCAGGCTGGCCCCTGCAGCTGGTGCATGGCGGGCCAATGGTGTCATTCCTTCTCTATGCCATGATAGTTCTCAACCATGTGGCGGTGGCTGGTTTGGTGGCCAGTGCGCACCAGCATGCTCTGCTGTGCTGCTTCCCAGACACCAGCTGCCCACCTCCTGAGTGCTTGCAAGGCTGGGGTGCAGCCCAAAGGCTGGAGCTCCCCACCTCATGGCTTCACGAGCGCAGGGGGCCCACCTCCCCTAAAATATATTTTAACCAATATTTTAGTTCAGGTCAATAGGACAGCTGAACTACCTAGACATTTTATAAAATATTTTTAATTTGACTTGAAGAAGAGAAGGAAAGAAGAGCGAAGTCAGGAGAAAAATGAAAGAACCTGTCTAGAGTGTTGGCAGTAGCTAACTGGAAAGGAAAGAAGCAGGTCAGATTGAAGGCTGGTTTGTAATGTCAACCAATGTAAAGTTTGAGAGATCTTGCTCTTCCTGATGAGAAGGAAAGTGCTCTTTGAGAATTCTGCCTGCTGTGGGTGACCAGAAAAAGAGAGATGAGAAATGGGACAACTGAAAAAGCCTCCAGCAGTGAGGACTGTCTTGCTGTGATCTCAGGCCCTCTTCCGCTGGCAGCAAACAGCGCAAGTGTCATGCTGTGTGGAGTCTTCCCATTTTGAACATCAGTCCAGATGTTCTGTCTCTATATTCAGGAAAACACATGCACACATTTCCTTCTAGGGAATTTGTTTCCTGTAACTGTCTAAAACTTAAGGCACATCAGGAAAAAGAGAACAGAACAATAGCAACAACAACAAAATCCCTATGAATCAAGCATGTTTAGGAAGATTCTCTTATGACCAATTTCCTGTTCAATGTCTATTAGATTATTAGATGTTCCAGAGTGTGCAAGAAATAAAATGCTCTGTCTTTAAGATTCTGTCACTCCAGTGGCAGATTAGAAGAAACACTACATATATAAGACAACTAAATGCTATCTATGAGAAACTGAAATGACACAAAACTTCATGTACATTTTTTAAAGGGAAACCAAAAAACACATAGGGAGAGATTAGTACAAGTCAGGTCTGAGTAGGGTTAGGTTTCTTTTCTATTGGTACATGCTCACAGTACATCATGTTTACACCTCATGTGAAGTCAGTGCATGTACAGAGCACATCTTTATTCCTCTTCTCACCCCCTCTCCCTTCATTCCTTCCCCTCCCTCCATCTCTATCCCCTTTCCATTTGAGACAGATGTATCTCCCCACTCCCCAGTTTTTAATTTGCTCTGTATTTATATTGTACATTTCTCATGTAAGAAAAGTCAGTATGAAGAGTTCTCAAAAAACTAAAATTGGAAATTCCATTTGATCCAGTTATTACCCTTTTAGATTTCTTCTCAAAAAAGTTAGACATCACATTACAGTGATCTATGCCTAACTCATATTTATAGCTGCACAGTTTATAATAGTTAGATCTTGAAAGCAGCCCAAATGCCCATCAATGGATGAATGGATAAAGAAGATGTGTTTTTTTATACAATGGAGTACTACTCTGCCATAATGAAGGACAAGCTTGAGACATTTATAGCTAAATGGATGCACCCTGACACCATATCAGGTGAAATAAATCAGACACATTTAAATACCACATTGTTTCTCTGGTGTGAGAAACCAAAATTGTAAATAAGAACCAAAATTTGTAATAGGCATTGGGAAATGGGAAGAAAATGTTCAAACGTGAAGAGGAACAAGGGAGGAAGCACGACAAGAGGAAGGATGGGACAAGAAAAGAAAAAGGGAAGAGAAAGAAACAAATCTTTTGGGTTAAGCAGCTCATTGTGGTGGCTCACCGGGGTTCCTGAAGATGTCTGGGCTGATTCTTTGTATTGTTTTCTTAGTCTCAGTTGCATTAATTTCTGCATTAATTCTAAACTTTAAAATTTTCTCCCCCACACAAGCTTTGTGCTTGACTTGCTGTTCTTTTTCTAGAAGCTTGAGCCTAAACATTAGGTTATTTGAACTCTGTTTTTCTAACATAGTAATTTACCACTATAAACTTCCCTCATAGGACTGCTTTCATTGCATCCCATAAGTTCCACTATGCTGCACTGGCATTATTGTTTAATTGTAGATGCTGTTGAATTTCTTCTTAGTTTCATCTGTGAGCCATTGATTGATCAGGAGGTTTTTAATTTCTTTATATTTATGAAGTTTTTGTGATTTCTTTTGTCATTGATTTCCAATTTCATTGCACTGTGGTCTGATAGTATTCATGGGATAATTTCCATTCCTTTATATTTACTTAAGCATGTTCTATGAGCTAGTATGTGATCTATTTTGGAGAACATCCCATGTGCTGCTGAGAAGAATGTGTATTCTGATGTTGTGTGGTGGGACATGCTGTAGACAACTATTAAATCTATTTGTTCAAAAGTTTGGTTCAGTTCTAATATTTTTTTGTTGATTTTTTGTCTAGTTGGTCAGTCTATTTGTGACAGTGGGGTATGGAGGTCCCTCATTACAACTGTAGTAGTGCTTATCTGATTTTTCATGTCCATTGATATATATTTTATCTAGCTGGGTGCTCTGGTATTTGTTGCATGTATATTTATGATTATTATCTCTTTTTCTTGGATTTTTCCCTTTATGTGGTGACCTTCTTTGTCTCTCTTGATAGGTCCTGGTTTGAAATCCACTTTGTCTGCAAATAGAATATCTATCCATGTTCTGGTTCAGGTTCTTGTGGAATGCACTATTGTTTTCCACCTTTTGACTTTCCATGTTTGAAACTTTTTAAATTTAAATGTGTTTCTTATATGCAGCATATTGTTGGATCTTGCTTCTTGATTCATTCTGCCAGTCTGTTTCTTTTGCTTGGTGAATTGAGACTATTTACATCTATGGTTATAACTTATATATATTGATATATCTTTGTCATGTTATTTTCCTGTCGTTGGTTCACTTTTTTGCCATTGTTTAGTTACTTGCCTTGCATGTGGATTCATTCTGTTGGTATTCATGGAGCTGTAGTCCTCATTATCTCTTTCAGAATGCCCTCCAAAACATTTTGGAGTGCTGGTTTGATAATCATGAATTTCTTCAGTTTTTCTTTGTCATGGAAGTATCTTAGTTCTCCATCAATTTTGAAAGAGATTACAAAGAGCTTTGCAGGTTACATCAATCTGGGCTGAAGGTTGTTTTCTTCTAGAGCTTAAAATTCTTCTTCTATAGCTGATATTCTGTACTGACATTAGCTCATTCTGCTGCATATATTTTCCATGGAATTTTTAATCTCTTGGACATATGTTTCAATCTTTTATGGATCCCATTTCTTTCCTATGTTGGGTGTT